CCCACCAAACCTCGGAATATAAAATAACGTCATTATGAAGATGAAAAACTTACTGATCAGCATATTATCCGACTGTCCGTCTGTCATGACGATGACAATCTTTTGAGCGTTGTCCCGCCCACCGTGAGCAGTGTCAAACATTCCGTTTTTCACCATGTTTAGAGCCAGGTCCGTTCTCGTTGTTGATCTGATGTACCTGGCAGCTTTGATGGCCTGAAAAGAATTGTGAAAAAATAGCAAAAACATGGTTACACCAGCGTGGAATGACCAATAGTTACATGCTAAGGACGAGACAAACGCAGTTCCAGAGACACTTGAATCAACATAAAGGTTTTGAGCGTTTTGCTCTCACAGAAGGCAAAGAGGCAGAGACCTTAAAAAGATGGATGATGGGGAAATATTAGGATAGTATTATACTTTTTTTTCGGCCATCCGAGCAGAGAAATAAATGGGTGCCAGATCACGATCACTAATGTCTGTTTCAATCTGGCATTTGAGAAAGATGAATTGTTTGGAAATTGTTTCTCATGCATTGAGTGCAATACTGACACCACGAAACGTCTGCTGTTTGAACAATCGTGTGTGTTAGTGTGTGTTTCTGTCAACAAGTGCTGGTTTGTCCTGAGATCATATTATTTATAATGTGCTGTTTAGGTGAACTAAACTGTTCTGAAAGTTATGCACATCTTTGCTTTAGAAATACTCCTCTATTTACAACCACCCCCCCCCCCTTTGTGTGAGCTCTGGCTTCACGTACATCGTTGGTTAATCTTTAGTCTCCCTATAGGTTCTCAACGTAAAGGTTAATCAAAATATTTCCTGATTTCTACCGAAGCCCCCCCCCCCCCCATCTACTATTATTCCTGCCAAATCCCGACTCCAGGTAATAACTACTATAGTGGTGATGTGTATCAAGGTATCGAAGCAACTAAATAAAACGGATGTCGTACTGACAATTAAAGAACAAAACAAACAGGCCGTGAATTGAGCTCCAACCTTTGACAAACTGTTATGATCAGAGTATTCCTTTAGATCAAAAAGTTTCTCTGCTATGTCCGAGAAAATGACACCTCCAAAACGGACATCGTCAGGTCCCAGGTCAAAGTTCTTAGTCAGGTTAGCGGCAAAGTCCAGTTGTCGGTCGTAGTTCCCGGAATCTCCCATGTTGATACTTCCAGAGGAGTCCATGACCAGGATGATATCAGCCAGAGGAGTACACACACGGGGCGGTGGCGTCGGCGCTGCAAGGAGAATGAAAAGATGAGGAAAGTGTCTCTAGAACAAGAAAGAAACCCAACAAAAGCCGTGGAAAAAATGCCCTTATGTACGAAAATGTTAGCTAATAAAAAGGAGGCAAAAGTGAGCTCTTGCTATAAAAAGGTTGACTAGCACTGCTGAGTATGGATATGCGCTGTAAAAATGTAAATTATTACTAGTATTGTTTTCTTTGCATACAATGATGTTGGCTGTAAACCGGCATCTTACCTAAGTCACGTCAAATCTAAGATCGATAGCAGCTTAAAACTGGCAACGTTTAGATGGACACTTGTCTTAACCTTGTTAATAATGAGGAGGTTTTGGTAACATCTCTTAGGTTCAGACCTAGAATATCCACATTTTGGGTATGTTACTAATTTTTCTATGATTGCATAAATCTGTCATTCTGGAATTCCCACAGAGTAGTACGGTACAAAAGCCTTTGGTTAACCACCCCCCCCCCACAAACCCCCCCCCATAAAAACAAACAACCTAACAACAACAAAACTACTGAATGAGTTCAAACGATTTACACTGTAGATGGAGGATACTAGACTAGGCTACATATTCTACCATACAGGAGTCAATGACTGAAACATTAATGATAAACAAAAAGTGCTCATTGGTTTGACATAATGTTATGTTTTTGCACAATCCAGCCCCCTATGGTTATCCCGCGACACATGAACAGATACAAGAACATAAACAGACATTTACACGCACACACACACACACACACACACACACACACACACACACACACACACACACACACACACACACACACGCGCGCGCGCGTGCGCGCGCAAGCACACACACACACACATGAATATACATACACCAACTCAAATGCATGTACACACTCGTACATACTAAAGTTTGAAGAATCCTGAACAACACATCTGCTATTGAGTTTCAATGATAATTTTCTACACACCTTGTCTCAATCGCCACACTTCGGTAAACAACAAATGCATTAAAAAGTATTTTTAAAATCCTCATACCTGTCTCCAAATCACTACAAACTCTGTTATAATCTACTCACCCTCACACGTTCTGTTGGTCACAACATGTTCTATTTTGTCAAGAGCGTGGAAATCAGAAACTTGGACCACGTTTTCAGACCCAGAAGCGATGTTCTCAAGATCATGTGTGTTTGCGTGGGCAATTCCAATAGCAATGATGGTCACTCCTTTCTTTTTAAGTTTTTCAGCTGCTGCCTTTGCTGAAAAATATCAGAATGAACGATGATCCACTTGTTAAATGTCTTTGCTCAAGTGAATTTTTGCTTTTGGTCCTTCATAATATCATGTGATTTTGTTTTTCTCAGGGTTATTGTAAATCTTCTACTTTGTACTGTTCCCACCCAAAAACACCATAAAATTGACAGATGATAAAATGAGCATAAAAAGACTTTGCAATTTTTAACCAGTGCTTCGGGCCCAACTTAAGCATAAGGCAACTTGTTTGTTTGTTTTTGTAAAGTGTTTTACGGCGCTCGCAACTGCATAAGGTCATATGAGCGCGCGGGACACACCTACTATTTTCAGTTGGTAGGAAATTTTGAATTTTGCCCGGGTGGCGGCCGAAGCCTACTCTTATCGATTTTAGACCACCAAGGGATCTTTAACGTGAGCAAATGGCACACGGGCCCTCCGAGATTTTTCGCCCTTGTCCGAGAAGGCTAGGTGTAGATCTTTCCTACCAGAAGATCAGGTGTGTGACAGAAAGACAGCAGTAAGGTGGAACCAAGGAGTAGCATTAGAAAGGCTGCAGAAAGAGTCAGGAGCCCAGAGGAGAGGGCAAAGGAGGTGAGGGGGTGGGGGTGGGGGCAGAAAGTGGAAATGAAAGCAGACAACAGAACATTGCTAGAGAGCAGGAAAGGAGGTAAAAGAGACAATTTTAGAGAAAAAAAATTTTCTGTCGCTACCCGGATTCGAACCCGGGACCTTTGAATGAGAGGCCAAAAATGAGGCAACTTTTGTTCTTTTATTTATGTTCCTGAGTTCTCTTAATCTTGTGTATATTTTCAAAGGCCTGAATTTTACTTTCAATTGCTTTTTAGATCAAAACGCAGGCAAGGTATAGCCTCTGTAGATGATATGGACATGGGGAAGTCGGTTATATCAATTCCGATTTGAGTGGTCTTTAGTTTTGAACATATTTCACTTTTACAAGAGATCTATTAGTACTCTGGTATATATACAAATAAACAATGTAAAAACTTACTCTTCTGCATATCATCTGACTGTCCATCTGTCATGACAATAACAATCTTCTGAGCGTTGTCCCGGCCGCCGTTGACAGTATCAAACATTCCATTATCCACTAAGTTCAGTGCCAGGTCCGTTTTTGTTGTAGACTGGATATATCTGGCTCCTGTGATTGCCTATAAAATGGCCAGTGTCAAACAGAAAATAAATAATGGGGAAACACTCAAGATCACTCCAAAATGCTACAAATTAGTAATGGAATAACTGTCGAAAGATGATCACGAACGGAATAATTGTATAAAAAGGGCTATAAAAATTCCAATCAGTAGCTACCATGTCAGTGTACAAGACAGAATTGAGCTACATGCTCATCACAGGGAAGAACCGTCAAAACGTGGTAATCGTCAATAGACAAAGATGCACTCTCAATTCCCTTTTCTGACATGAAAATCTTTATAAATGTATGTCACTTCTGCTAAAGATGAATACTATCCTTCTGAGCTTGCGCAAGGACAATTCAGCGAAACACGAAACTAAAACGATACAAAAAACAAAACAAAAGAGGGAGACAAAGTGATACAGGGAGAAGGACAGAGAGTGAGACAACCATAATTATACAGAGAAAGGGAGACAGGCAGACATACAGAGACAGACAGAGCAGCAGACAAAAAGAGAGACAGAGACAGAGACAAAGAGATAGATAGCTAAATAGCTGGATAGATAGATAGATGGATAGATAGATGAATAGATAGATATATCGATAAATAGATCGATAGATTTATAGATAGATAGATAGATAGATAGACAGATAGATATATAGATAGATAGAGAGAGAGAAAGAGAAAGAAAGAAAGAGAGAGAGACAGAGAGAAAGATAGACAGAGAGAGAGAGAGAGAGAGAGAGAGAGAGAGAGAGAGAGAGAGAGAGAGAGAGAGAGAGAGTGAGAGAGAGAGAGAGAGAGAGAGAGGCAGAGAAAGTGCTAGCCGTTTTCCTGATTTCTGTTAATGAAAGATTATTTGGCATGGGTTAAAGTTAAGAGGCTTCATTTTACTAAATACCTTTAGTCGATAAAATTCCAGATTTTTCCTACTTTCAGCCAATACATTTCTGAGTTTGAGAGTATCTTTGCAAAAACAGATTGGAATCGTAAAATCAAAATGCCTAATAATGAAAAGCGAAAGGCGCAGATCTGAAAACTGAAACTAATAACTTTGCAACAAGAGAAATAAAAGAGGACACAACAAAGCATCAAATTATAAACAATAACCGAACCTTTGACAGGTTCTTATGATCAGAATAATCCTTCAAATCAAAGAGTTTCTCTGTTGTGTCCGAGAAAATGACGCCACCAAAACGGACATCATCAGGCCCCAGGTCAAAGTTCTTTGTCAGGGTAGCGGCAAAATCCAGTTGTCGGTCGTAGTTCCCGGAATCTCCGCTGTTGATACTTCCAGAGGAGTCCATGACCAGGATGATGTCGGCTAGAGGAGTACACGCTCGTTCTCGTGAGGTTGGCACAGCTAAAAGAATTTAAAAATTGAATCATGAGAACATTTTAATGACATATTTCTAAACTATGGCATTTTAGATAAATAGTAAAAGATTAAACAGCAGTTTACAGTAGCCAGGGTTAACAGAGTCCATTATGAAGACAATACCAAGAGGTGGTAAACTCTGTCATTCCGCAGTTCCAGAAGGTGGCGGTGAGACAAAGTATGCAGAACCATCGCTCTAACGACCAAGAGGAAGACAACGATAGTTGCGACCATCCACTCACTTGTTGGTGATATCGTGGAGTCTGTTTTACGATGGTCAGGCTCTCCGCTATGGAACACAGAAGACATGAGCTCGATTCTCATGTTTTAAGTTGTTTACTTTTATCGAGTATCTCCATCTGTCCCTTGGAACACTGCATCCCTCCCACTCTGGGGTTGCCTCCTGAATGATCAAGATTGCGTCGATGCGGGCGTAAAACATTTAGATTTAGAATAACAATCACAGTTTAGTTTCACTCCATGGCATATAGGCTTCACATCACGCTTTTTGTGTTATTTGATATTTTTTATGTGTAGTAAATAGGCTAATCTTCGGACACACAATGTGGAAAGAAGCATTAGAGAATATTGTAACAACAGGAAAGTTTGAAGGAAAGAGAGGCAGAGGCAGACAGAGGGAAAAGATACTGGACAAGATGACAACATGGTTGGGAGCAGCAAGAACAACAGACACCATTGCTGCAGCGAAGGACAGGGTGAAGTGGAGGTCCATGATCGCCCACGCCAGTCGGCAAGGCACCGGATGATGATGAAATAGGCTAAAACAGCACCTGGATATGGATGGCTGGTGTCTCTATGAATAAATCATTGATGGTCAGGTCATGTGTAGTAAAAAGACCTGTTTTCAAAGCAAAGCTTTAACAGTAAGTAATGATCAAGGTCCAAAACTCTTACAGACAGAGGAGACTTAATATAAAGAAGACTTTATAAATCTTCCTCCCGAAAGGGCTTTGCTATCGAGACAATAAGAGCATTTTCCCAATGAATTAAAGGTAAATGAGTCGACTTGGGAGAAAACGTATATCTAAAGTACCAAGACAATCTAACAACAACGAAGGTAACAGGGGCAAAAACAAGAGCAACATCAACGACGACGACGACAATGATGACAACTAAAACGACAGCAACTACAAAAACGATCACAAAGGGAAACACCAACAACGTCAGAAATTATAAATTACAATAACAACCACAACTACAACAACAGCGAAAACAATAACAACAACGGTGACAACAAGAACAGCTACAATAACGATAACAAAGTGAAACAAGAACAACAACAACAACATAAATCATAAATACAATAACAACGGTGACGACAACAGCGGCTACAATAACATCAATAAAGTAAAACAACAACAACAACAACAACAACAATAACGACAACAATAACAAAATAGCACCAACAAAATCAGAGTCGTTTGATTATGAAGAGCTCACCTGCACATGTCTTAATCGCCAGATCTTCCCCAATTTCATGCAGCGAGTCAAAGCCAGCCACTTGGAACACGTCTTCAGGAGTCGAAGCGATGTCTTTCAGCTCTTGGGGGTTCGCGTTGGCGATTCCGATGGAGATAATCATTATCCCGGACTTCCTGAGCTTTTCTGCAGCTGCTTTGGCTGGAAATAAATGTGAGGCAGCGTGGTGAAATCAGGCGCTCGTCAATATAATCACAGTAAAGAAACTGGCATTTTCACGCAGGTTTGCGAATTTTTAATCGAATTTTTCTTTTGGCTCAACACCTGTCATGCACATTAAAGAGCACATTTCTGTTGGGATTTTTAAAAACCGAAAACCGTTGATTAAAGGCACACAAAGTAAAGTTTCAAGCTAAGGAATTATAAATCATCTTTGACGGTCATTTTCTCGCTAATTTTACCTCTGCAACCAGGTGATCCCCCATCTCCTTCAATAGCAAATATCTCGACTTCTATTCAAGATAAACGGATATTTTTTCTTCAAAAGCAAGACAAATGAACAAGATTTAAGATGATACCAATAACTCTACATGCTCAAAAATTGACGAGAGCCTAATTCCACCTTGTTGTGATACAAATGCAGTCGAAGCCACAGTAGTGGCCACCTGTATAAGACAATCCCCTCTACAAATGGCTTTTCCCCATTTCCTCCCTTCTGTATTTCTAATATTACACCACTGTATAAAACGCCATCTGTCTGAGACGGACACTTTCGCCTCCACAATAGATGGTCGTCTTAAACAGTTTCGACTGCATGCAAAAGAGAGGTGGAAGTGTGTCAAGTATCTACTTTTACGTTTAATTTATAGAATAGCGCCCAAATAATAATATATCTATAGGCAAAAATAGAGTTGCAGTTCCAAAGTATACAAAAAGGTGTACCAAATATTTACTTTTAATTTCCGTTTAGTTTTTTTAATGAGTTTTAATAAGGACGTACAAGTCCCGAAATTTAGAGGTGTTACTAGAGAGTAACAAACACAAAAAAGGAGAGCTAGAGAACAGGACGATAGATGTTTGATAGGAACGAAGGAGTAAACCACACTAGAGCACCCGCCTTCCACCTACAATTTTAGTTTACCTTACTGAATAGCGTTCAAATATAGGATCACAATCCTCCTCCTCCTCCTCCTCCTCCTCCTCCTC